AAAAAGGACCTTATCTTATTATTTCACAAAAAATTTTGTATGCGAAGATGCCTTATATATACCAAAGATTTTCAAAATAAAGGTCGATTGAAAAAAGCAAAATAGCTGGCTAGAAATGTAGGCCAAGATGTCTTCCAAATTATAAGGCCGGAAACAGAACTCAAATATATGTGGAAAGAACTAATTTAATAATAAATAGACACACACATCGGAAAATTAAAAACTCGGATTTTTCGGCGCCGACGCCCATTTCCGATACAAAAAAAATAGTAGTCTCCCTTCTTTCATCGAAGTATCTATTCACAGTATGTTCAGTGACCAATAATAAACATTTCAATAACCTAGAATTAAGATAACTACCAAATAAGGTGTAGTTAAAAAAAATCCTATATGAAGCCAAACAAAGATTTTAGATTTTTCATCCACACCTCCCCTTAAGGTCACTAGAAATCTCATGAAAAACATGCAAAATTCAAGGAACTAAAGACTAAAGTTAAAGTAGAGTTAAATTAAGGCAATGAAATTTAAGCGCGAATAATTATTTCTAGTGATATAAAATTAAAACTTCCTCTTTACCTGATGGAACTAAAGACTTAAAATTGCGTCTTTTTGTTCGAATATATCAACCATTTAACAAAATAGTTCAAGATTTTTTTTAAAATGTACATTTCTTGATTCTTTTGGCATTTACGACACCATTTTGGGAAAACAAGGAGAACTCTTCTGTCTTCAAAGATACGTTAAAAAAGTTGCCCAATAGGATACATTTAGATTTAAATATTTTATTTTTTTTATTTTATAAATCTTTCTACTTTGTCTGATATTTCTTTCTAGCCCACTGGATCCATGCACAGCCATGTAAAGGTGGTACTTGCAAAGGACCTCAATATCAGGGGGTGCATTCGCCCAGGGCACTTTAAAAAAAAAAACTATAATGAGGGGTGGCATTTTCGGCGAGCTGAAGAATTTTTTTTTTTTTTTTAACTTATTGGTAGTGGGTGGCACAACTCTCTAGTTAACTTATCGCAACATAATTTCTGGTCCGCTCGTAACATTTCCCAAAAAACTATAATGAGGGGTGGCATTTTCGGCGAGCTGAAGAATTTTTTTTTTTTTTTTAACTTATTGGTAGTGGGTGGCACAACTCTCTAGTTAACATATCGCAACATAATCTCTGGTCCGCTCGTAACATTTCCCAGATCTGCTCATTATGAGGACACGTAACACATCAACCAACACTTGGACATTGGTCGCTCTCTGTTGTTGGTGAAATTCTATAACGTGGCCCATTAATAATTAAATTAATATTATTACTTTTCTAAAATTCAAATGAAAACAATAAATGTATCTAAATCATCTTGATTACTCTATTTGAAAAAAAAAAATTGATCTACGAAAGTGGCTTAAACAAAAAAAATAGAATTAGAAAGAAAAAGCAACTACCTGCAATAAGAAAAAAAAAACACAACCAAAAATAATAAAACTATGAATCTATGAAATAAGGAGTAAAAACACTTTTAAAAAAAGATTCTCATACTATTATTGTTATCACACCCGGCTCCGAAGCCATTTAATCTATTTGGAGCCACTCCGGGTCCGAATAGCCTTTGTAGCTATATGTACCCGGGTACCTATAGGTGCAGCCTTTCACCAATTGTTGTTATTAAATGTAGGCCTATACGTTTCTATAATTGCTAATTTTTATGTGAAGCGCAGTGGGCCTGTCCCTTTGGAAGCGATAGCGGCAAAATTATGGAACAGTTTACCTCAATCTTTGAGGGGAATTGAAAATGATAAAAATCGTTTAAGAAACATTTAACAAATTTTTTGTTTAAATAGATATAAGAAAACCAGAGCGCAGTGAGCATGCTAAAGTAGCCTGTATACCAGCGCTTTATAAATATCCAATCAATCAATAGATAAAACCAACTAATAATAATAATATCTGAAAAAAACACAACTGTTTATTAATATATATATATATATATATATATATATATA